GAGAATACCACGCTTCCTTCCTTGGTTCAGACTGGTGCTTGTCAAGAAAGTCAGAGACAACGGATTATAACGCGACACAGCTCGTTTAAGCACCAAAATGATGATGTAATCCTTCAAACCTTAAAAGTGGCCAGCATCAGGAGCCCATCACTTAACTCTTTAACTGCCATGAGTGACCAAGACAGAACCTCTCCTAACAATATCAATACAATATCAACCAGATAAGTGATGAGAATAACGAAAAATATCAATTTGGGGATAATTAGTTGATCCAATATTAAATTATCTGAACCAACATTATAAGAATTGTATGGTTGACAGTAAGGAGAATTAAAAATTTGATCTGGGAGTTAAAGGGCTCATGGGCTCCTGCCAGCATCTAATTTCTCACTGAGATCACGAGAATAAAGGAAATGATCACCAACCTGAGAAGCTTTGATTGTTTAACGAATTCTCCCATCCATCCATCGTCATTACGCAAGGAAATGTAGAGAGACTGGTATGGAGAATATGCATAATGACGTTAGAGTGTAGAGTGCTGAGCATGATGTTTATCAAGGACACTAAAAAAATTAAAAGGTTTCCTCACTTTTCTGTCAATCGCATCCAACCGAACTTGATAAACTAAAAACTATTTGAACACCAGATATTCTCATTGCACTCTTTATACGATAAAACGGACAAACACTTACGTGCCTGCCTTGTGATCTAGTAACGAGAACGAGAATACCCATCTTCCAAACGATTACAAGTCGATTGTAAATATGCATGGTTTGTGAGTCTTTTCAGAAACCTTCCCCTCCCCCTCCTCCCTCCCCACTCCCCTACTAGGACCCCGCTGATCGCAGGATTTGGCGCGAAACAAGAATCGGTCACCAGTCCCCAGCAATCCAGTTACGTCCCTCGACAACATGGCCGACCATCAGACACCGGACACTTCTAGCAGCACAGGGACTTCCTCAAGCTCGCAGAGCCAGAGTGTCCCTTCATCGGCGAGTATGGATTCGGCGGGAACAGCTGCTACACTTCCAACCCAGGATGCTGTCGATGGAATGTCGGATGAAGAGGAACTAAAGATGTCAAGCTGGGGAAGACTATTCCCGTTGGGTATCGGCTTTGAAAAGATTGGTAAGCGTTTGATAGAGCAGACCGACATGAAAATCTAGAATTTTCTTACCTCGGAAGATAGTTTTTATAGCTCTGTTTTCTATTTTATGTATGTATCATTGTGATCTGAGGGCGATTTGAGTGAAGTTTGCCTGTTTGAAAATATAATCTCGCGCGCGTTCATGATCATGACAGGAAAATGGAACAGAATTCTTAAGGTAATTTCCTGTAATTTACAGGGTCACTAGAATGTTTTGATAACATGATTATCGGTTATGTTATTTTAGGGAACAGAAAACTATTGCAAAGAGAAAACCGTCGAATTTTACAATTTGGCTAAAAACAAGCGACCTAGTGCTTGACAGTGGACTGGTTTTAGACTCAATGAAGACGTTTTTCTTCAACACCACCTTACGGTCTTACCTTAAAATATTATCGTTGAATTGTTGAATGAAAAAGAAAAATTTTCACAGTTAAAAACAAAAATCTTTGAGGGAGTTCACAAGCCAGTCTAACATAGCTCAATGAGATTTCATGAATGCAGAACCAGTTCCAGCTGCTTGGAATTTTGGGACTCTGCCACACAAGGTTGTACTGTCTGACAAGTGACCCTCTTGGCTGGAACCTATCCCAGTCTCCACAAAGTGAATATTGCTCATACCCCCCCCCCTCCCCTCCCTTTTTTTTCTTTTCTGGAGAGAGGCACAGCAAGGGTGTAGTTTGGAGGGTTCTTAGGGTGCCCGTGACCTTCCCATTGTAAACCAGGTAGCAAAAACTGGTGAGTACCCTCTGTTTAATGATGTGACCCCCTCTTTGAAAAATCCTGGCTACACCCCTGTCCTTGTAAGAGTGTTACAACAACCCAGCCTGAACCTAAAACTGGAGCCTTGCATCTGGAATCCAGTACACTTACCATTACACTCCATCTACAAATGCTATTATTAGTAAGATGAGATATTTGTTTATTTCTTGTATTGCTCTAGATCTTGAAAAAGATGTCAATACATTTGGCCGTGGCACCAACAATGACATCTGCTTTGAACCTAGAGCATTTAAGAAGAATCCGCAATATCAGGCAATTAGTACAAAACATTTTAAATTATACAGGGTAGGTATGTGCATTGCACTATTTATTAATAATTCTGTTCATTACAATTGAGATCTTTTTAATATTATTTGAAATTGGTTGAAAGGAGTATATGTATCTCAGACCATTCTCTCTCTTCCATGTGTTAGGAGTTTGATGCAGATGGAACATTTAATGTGTTCCTTACTGATCTTAGGTAAGTCATGCAGGTGCTAAAAGTTCTTTCAAACTGTAACAGCATTTTGAATACAATAATATTTTTTGCAAGACTTGTTACAACCAAGTGGAGACACCACATGTATGAGGTTTCTCTAAAATCATGGCCTCAATTTCATTAACAGTGTCATGTTTCATCAACTGATATCTTTATTTGAAAATTAAAAACATCTCATTTTTCTGCTTTATTTTTCAGTTCAAATGGAACTTTTATTAATGGGCAAAAGATTGGTAAATTACTTATTTTTTGTTAACATCCTTGACAACAAGCAGCTTTAGAGTTGATTGTTTTCCACTCACCATTTTATCAGCTCGATTTTATTGGACTAATGTCTATTGTGTTAGTTCTTCCCTCTAATTGGCTTACAGCATGTGGTTGACCCTGTTTTTATTTGATGCATTGTAATAATTAACTTTCAAACTATTAAGTAAAATCTAATAGATGGCTCCACCCAATACCTGCAGTCTACTAGTGTCCCATCTGCTCTAAGGGACTGCATGCTAATAAAATCAGGATATAAATTTCAACACTTACTATGGCAAGCAAACTGATGACCTACCCTTTATTCATTTATATTTCCTTAACCAATTGTATTTTTAGGTGTTACTGATTTTCTTATGAAGGTTGGAGGTGAAAGAATGATGTGAATGGTTGTGATGACGTGTTTGTTTAAATTTCACTTTGTTGTTGTTTTTTTTTTAATTTATACTTTAGGTAAAAACAATACACAACCATTGAATAACAATGATGAGATATCTTTATCTTTAAAGAAACACAAAGGTACAAGTAAAGTATGTTAAATATGACACAAAGAAAAACTCACAAGAATTTTACTTATCATAATTATTCAGAAATTTAGTGGATCTTTTCAGCAATGTTTTATGTCCCCCCCCCCTTTCTCTATTAAGGCCTTTCCCAGTCTCTTCTCCATTGATTCCTCCTCTCCAGTGAGCCATCTCTTTCTGAAAAGTCCTCCCTTGTTCAAGTTCCCCTCCCTAACAAGTTTCCCCTTTCTCAATGTCCTCTCTTTTATTTAGTTCTGCTTTCTACATTTTATCATCTCACCCCTCCAATAAGTCCTCTGGTGAGTTCACCTCTCTAAAAAATCCTTGTCATCTCTAGAATTTAGAGCTACTTGACTGATGTCAGGCCATAAGTCTCTTGAAATATTTGCTTTTCTTTTCTTTTTTTCTCTCACTATAGCCTATGTATTTCAGAACATTAATCAAGCTGACCAGGAATTCAGTTTACTACCAGAGGTGAAGCTCAAGTAGTTCTTACAGAGACTAGGTACTTTTTAGACCAACATTTTGGACAGCAGAATCATAACATTGTTTGTTTTTCTGTAGGATTTAAAGGAGAAGTATGTTATGTCCAGATTCCTTGGAAGGTGAGTGTAGTTTGGGCTAAGACTCAAGGTAAAAAAAATTAATTTCCTCACCCCTTTGAATACAGTGTTTCACATATGAAGACCTTTTCCATGTCATTTTTTCTTTATTGAAATAAACAATTGGATCTCATGTCAGTATACATTCATTGCAATATAAAGCACACAGGAAGTTTGGAGAGCACAAGAGATGCATAAGAGTTGCTCAGGGCATAGCTGAGAGCAACCCTGATTAGTTCTCCAAATGCTTCTCCAACCTTCTGGTCACCTTCTATCTCAATGAATGTGTGGGTGGTACATGAACTAATTGTTTCATAACATTTTCACACTGGTGATTCAGTTTTATTTAAAGAGAAGTTACCTCTGTCAGGGCTAAAAATTGGCAGTTGCATGGTTGCCAGTGGCAAGTTAAAACTGAGCAGGGCCACCAAAGGTTAAGGTTTGAATGCCTGATGTTTGACTATGCTACAGAATTTTGAAAAGTTGCAATGTAAATTATGCGAAGTACAAAGTTAAAAATAAAATTCAATGTGTAGTTGGACTACCTTTCTCTTCATTTCTTTGCCTGGACTCTAAAAGCATCCCTTTTAGCGAATTTTTTAGTTCTGAAGTGGAAATTCCAAGCCATTTTAACAGTGATTTCACAGGCTTGTTCTTTCCTTTTAGTTAACACTCCATTAAAAGCCATGGGGTGTTTATTCAAGTTTTGTGTTTTAAACTAGAGGAAATCAAGGGCTACTTCATTTTGTGATGGGCCACTAAGAATTCAAGGAAACTGGAGTACTGGAGTTAATTTTTAGCCCTGCCTCTGTTATGCCCCAATGAGTAAATACATATCATCAGTGTTCACAATGGGGAAAAAAACCATGCTCTTGTAATTAAAATTGATGGCATGGATTTACAAGTTATGTTATATATGAAGTCACTGTTAGCTTGTGCTGTGGTTAAATAGAGTATGATTTTATAACTGACTAAATGGTGAACTAAAAATATGCTAGACTAGCAGACTGGTTGACTGAACAACTGGCTGACAAAGTGATTGACTGGCTGATGGGTGTAGTTACTGACTGACAGACTGAGTGGATGACTGATCTGTAACTGACTAACTGACTGATTGATTAACTGACTGACTTACTGAGTGACTTACTGTCTGACTAACAGACCAACAGATTAACCAACTGACTGACTTACTGACTGACTAATTGACTGACTTACTGACTGACTAATTGACTGACTTAATGACTGACTAATTGACTGACTTACCGACTGATTCATGAATAATTGGTTTGGTAGTTGGTATGCTACACTTTGCTGGATTAAGGGAGCAATCAATCTTTACTAGTATTCTGTTATTGATGTATCTATTGAAGCCTCCCTAACCCTAAGTAGTTGACAGTGGACAAGGAAATCTTATGATCCTCTCTGAGATAATAATGACAAATTACAATGATTAACACAAATGTACAATATTTTTCTTGCCTATATTTAGGGGTGCATGTGGTGAAGTTCGCTTAGCTTTTAGCAGGGGATCATGCAAAAAATTTGCTGTCAAGATTATCAGCAAAAAGACATTTTCTGTTGGAGTAAGTGTCAAGCTTATCAATGATATTCTGGTTATTATTGTAATTGTGAAGAGAGATACTCTGGCTTGAGATGTGTTTCTTCCAATGGTGCATGTACATGTGACTAGAGGTTGTGCCTTGCTCAAGAGGGGGGTTGAAAAAAGATCTATAGCTTATGTTATATGCCCCTAATTTTTGTAATGAACTTTATTATGTATCTCTCTGTTCAAACTTTCATTTCAGCCCAGGCAAGCAGCTCTAAGAGATGAGGTGGAAATATTGAAGAAGCTTCATCATGTAACTATGATAATTGTCCTTTATCAGTACCACCTCATGTATATTCTGACTCTGAATGGTTTAGTTTTTGAATGTATCTATATGTTTACTTGAGCCAAAGGCAGTTTGTTCCCATGGAAGAGGAGGGTCTTCCCTTCCTAGCCATGATTGGTGCAGTGCTGAAAGGTAGGGTGTTCAGCCCTTTTGGGTCTAAAAATGGGGATTAAGTTAACCATCTTAGTCTGAATTTTATCAAGGATGTGGGATTGGGAATTTTTCAGCAGAGTCTACTTTCTTGTATTTCATGACAGGTCTTAAGAAAAGTAAGGGTTTCAAGAAAATTTGGCAGACAATAATATTATTTCTTCACCAGAGTTTTGTAACGGTTTTAAAGCCCATTCCATAATTATTTCTATTGGCATTTTGTCTTTTTCTTCCCATCACTCAAGCCAATCTATCTTTTCCATTCTGTTCATTTCCAAATGTTCTAATGTTTTCTGCTTGTTATTAATATTTGTATTTTATTTAAAGGAAATGAATTATCAACCTGTAATTGACTAATACAGATTGCTTATGGACTTCAATTGTACCATCTCTTTCAGCCTTGTGTGATCCAAATTGGAGATGTGTTTGAAACTGCTGAAGTCCTATACATCTTTTTAGAACTGTATGAGTCAAATTTTTGCTAGATTAAAAAAAAAACTAGATTTGTTAGTGTTTTAGGTGAATATTGAGAATTTTGCACGACATCTTATTGCAAGCCATCAAGAGGTCTAGAAATGAGAACCAGACCCCAGCAAACCTCTCCCTGACTTGTCTATGCATCGCTATTCATGAGGCTGCCAGGCTAACTTCCAATCAGAACAAACACAGCAGTCAACAATCCAATGCTGCTAAAATCAAAGCAATAGGCATCCAAAGTCAGTTAGTGTACATGGGTCTCAAATGAATTTCAACCAATACTAAAAGAGCTTCAGATACTCAATATGCCAAGAATTCAGTGACCTTAGGGCCAATTCAATTCCGTAAAAAGAAGAAAATTGAAAGATAATCCAGTGTTTGAATGGATAACTCAACACAGAGTTTGTCTGAGATAAAAGCCTGCACAAATATTTAAATGGCACCATTTTGTCATATTTTGTTGTAAGATATGTTTTGCTTTTTCATGACTCCAGTGTAGAAGGTGGTGAACTGTTTGACAGAGTTGTTAGTGTCACAAGATTTGAAGAACCTGTAGCAAAGCTTCTGTTTTACCAGATGCTTGTAGCAGTAAAGGTGAGTGTCCTGTGATCCTAAGGCATAAGCCAGGGTAAAAAAAGATACAACATAAAAAATATCTTATTAATCAGATTGCACCATTTGTGAAAGAATGTTTATTTAGGAGATTTATTTTAATTGTTGTTTTTCTAAATATTCACAGAGTGGGATCAGTATTTATCATATTATCTGTAACACTTTGTGATTCATTATTGCTCTTTACAACATATGACACTCTCAATAAATTTTTACCATCAGTGATATTAATCAATTCTATGTTTGGGTTGATTTCCAGTATTTACATGATCAAGGAATCACTCACAGAGATTTGAAGGTACAAATGAATAAGAAAAATTTTGCAACACTTGGAAAATTGTTATTGAAATTCAAATTATATGTTTTTTTTAATGGTTTCCTTCATTTTTAGCCAGAAAATGTCCTTTTAAGCTCTGAGAAGAATGAAACCCTAATCAAGGTGTGGATTTTTCAACTTTTTTTTTAAATGCAATATTACTTTTCAAATTATTTTCCTCTTTTGTGTTAATGTATCAATTTCTTTTGAGTTGATTTGATGAAAAAATTTGGTAGCTTAACCCATTCACTCCCTAGGAGTGGCCAAAAGGAATTTCTCCTTACAAATCAATACCTTTCCAGACAGAAGGATGACGAGAATAAAGAAATATGCAACTAGGGGGTACTATTTGATTTATGCTAAATTCTCTGCTTGAAGCGTTTGACCCCAAGAGTGACTAACATCTGGTTTTCCATTATAATATCACCCCTGAATCATACAGGGAGGCGGGGAAACCTGCCATGGACTAGCGTCCCATCTAGGGGGAGTGGCATCATTTTTATGCTGTGGAAACAAGCAAAGCTGTGGTGATCTAAGGCACTGGATTCACATGCATCGTTTCACTTTGGAATTGCACAAAAATATTCAATTATGTTCCTTACACAGATTACTGACTTTGGTCTGTCCAAAGTAGTTGGAGAACAGAGTCTGATGAAGACATTATGCGGGACCCCTAGTTACCTGGCACCAGAAGTCCTCTTGACAGCTGGTATGGGAGGGTACTCTAAAGCAGTTGATCTGTGGAGCTTGGGTGTTATATTGTTTATATGGTGAGTTAGGCACTGACTGCAGTGTAGTAAAGTTTGCATTTATGTGAGGAGTAACTTGTTCTTTGGTTGGCCTACAAGAGTGAAAGTGCTGATTCTTAAAACTTAGAACTTGTCGAGAAGGAGAAGAATGTTCCACTGCAAGCTCCTTGTTACTGCTTGTTTCAAAATGATTTTACTCTCACTCAGCATAATTTTATTTCTCTCACAGTCTAGGAGGTTACCCTCCCTTTTCAGAAGAAACAAAGAAGCACACACTTCACGAGCAGATTATCAAAGGCATCTACTCTTTTCCAAAAGCTTATTGGAAATCTGTCTCACCCGAAGGTACTAACTAAAAATGATAATCTTCTACCGTATTATTTTGGAGATGCAAGTGGAAAGGTTATAAAGGAAAAAGAGAAACGATTAACGTCATTCATTCCGAATAATAATTGAACTACAGCATCGCAGAAGACTGTCTTTCAGCTCAGAGACAAAGCAAGCCACCTTTTTTTTCCCTGCAATATTACTCTTAAAAAAGCATCAAAAGAAGTTCCAATGGTCACTTTATAAATGGTTTCTATTTTTCTTTCATTTAGCCATTGATCTCATTAAAAAACTTCTAACTACGGATCCGCAGAAAAGAATAACTGTGGATGGAGCGTTGCAACATCCCTGGATTTCCGTGAGTATTTGCCCTTGAACACGTACAGTATACATTCCCACTTGGCTTCTTGTTCTTGGCGTTTTTTTTCCACTCCAGTGTATGTGCGTTCATGACCAAGAGTGAGGTCAAGATGACTGGATCTTGGGCGTGTTCTTTTTTTGCGTTCTTATGGATCGAGACAAGTCGAGATCCATAAAAAGGAAAAAATGAACGAGGCTAATATCCAGTCATCTTGACCGAACAAGCTTGGTTAATGAAGGATTTATTTTATGGTAAAGAAGAAGCAATACTTGTTTGAAGGGAAAGATAGCCAACCGGTTTTATTGCAAAATTAACAGACCGGAGTCGTTTATGTTTTCTTTGTTTTAACTGTCTTCTGCCGCTTTTTGCGCTTCTATCGTCCACGTTGTCCAAGAATTTCAAACTTAAAGTGTCCGCTCCAAATAATTTTTTTCTTGCGCGGAACCAAAGCGGGCAATCCCGAGCGGGCAAGATGGGTCCATATTGCCCGCTCGGGTCGCCAATATGACCACAGGATTCGCTTCATATTGCCCACGGGCACTGCCAGCGATAGCATAGAACGAGTGGTTGTGGTGACTCGATATTATCCGTGGCACAATTGGATGTGGTGTAATTATCAATTTATTGCTGATTAAACTCAATATAGACCAGTTTTCGATTCAGTAGGTGGCCTGTATTGCTGCTTTTAACATAAACGAGCCCTGACCATGTGACTGTTTCACTCCTAATAAAATTAGATTTCTACCTTTCCTTTTACTATCGTTCGTGGGTGACGCGCTGCCTTACGCGGAGCGGGTTGGACTCTGGGTCAAGAGGTCTGGGTTCTATAGCTGGCCGGGTCATTGTGATGTGTTTTCAGGCGAGACACTTTACTTGCTCAGTGTCTTTTCCCCACCCAGGGGTATACATGGGTACCAAAAAACTGACAGGGAAGCCTGCTGAGATGCAGGGAGGAGGGGGAAGGGGGCACTTTGTCTAACGTTTGCTTTTTTTTTCTGTTTTTTATCCAGAATGACGAAAAAGTGATAGAGAAGGCGAATCAGTTGATGGCTGCAGTGAACGCTGATATGCCTCCACCCTCTGGACCAGTAAATATTGGACTGATAGTCCTTTCTTGTTTATCGTACGAGATATCTCCAGCAGTGTGGTTTGCATCGTTTGCATCGAAATGTCATACTCAGGAATCTGTCTGTCTGTTGGTTTTTCTTTCTGCCTGTTGTTCTATCTGCCTGTCTGTCGTTCCTCTTGTGTCTGTCGGACTGACTTTCTGTCGGTCGGTCTGTGTACCTGTCTGTCATTCTTAGCTATCAGTCGTTGGTCTTCTGACCTGAGCCCTTAGTCTTGTTTTTCAATTGAGTGTCGTAAAACCAACATCACCATTCAGTCACAACAAATCTCAGATATTCAGTAAATATCACAAGTGGCCAACAGAGCTCAAAATAGAAACACGTAAACTACTTTAAGCGCGGGAAAACGTAATTGACCAATTCGCGATTGATTTGATTTTGCATCTGATTGGTCGAGAGAGGGGCCCGAGTTTTCTTCAACAATCATAGATTGTACAAGAGCAAAATCAATGCAATGCCGTGTTACTTCCAACCTTCAGTTGAAAGCTGCGTTATCTCCGCCACAAAGGGGTCTGATTCTACCTAAAGGCTCTACTTTGTAAGCACAACTTTTTTTGTTCTTCATTTCACAGGTTCCGAAGAAGAGGCACCCATCTGACGAGGATGACGGCCCTAGTCCGAGACGAAAACGAATTTCCACGGACATTGTTGAGAGTGACAGTACCACGGCTCTGTCGTGACAGTGCCACAGCTCTGTCGTGACCAAACCAAGTTTAGTCACTCAATGCTTAGGAAAAGGATGTGACTGTTTGTTAAGAACCGTTGATGGCGGCTGGTGGGAAAAAGTGATACAATGTTAAAATGTGCTCCCAAATATATAATGGAACGGTTGTGTCAACTGTATTGTCATGTAAGGGGAAGGGTTAAGGAGCATAATTGTTCTCTCTGTTGTCTGACTCGGGGTTGAGGAATGGAGCAGCTTTTTGTGGCATTTTGATCGATATGCGAGGGTTTATTTTAAGTTGAATGATATAGAATATAGAAACTACAGAATATGAAATGTAAGTAGACCCATCTGGTAGTTTACCAGGTAAGATATATAAAATGAGTCATTCCTTACTCCAAGATAGGTGATCGTTTATAAATTTTATGCTTGTTAAACAAGACAATTATTGTTCAGTGTTGGGCTTTGTTTTGCTCGGGTATTAAAGGAAATGTTTTAAATTATTCTTGGTCTTGTCTGTCTTTGAATGTAGTGTTGTTTAACCTTTTTCAAACGAACGATCAGTACAAAAGGCTACTAAAAATCCAGGACGGGATAATAGGCCAAAAATACACCAAGGCACCATGTTGTAACGAATTTTCCTGCCTAAAATGGTCTTTAGAAGTGTAACCTTTGTGGTGTTTGAAATTCTGTTTGTGGTCTACATTCCTCATATAACATTTGGGTACCGTAAGGCACGGGTGTGTATCACAAGATAAATTAGATGGGTAACCAGGTAGCACTTTTCCTCGTGTGTTTACAAACGACTGTGGTCAACTGATTTATGGCATTTTGTTAAAGCAACCACAGTGTATCGTTCCTCTCATCAAGCATACTGAGCTCTACTTCCAACAAGTTGTAACTAGGTTTCTTCGACACGCAGGGATGATAAAGGCGTATTCAGACAAGTAGAGGCCAGCGCGAGGCGATTGGAAAGCGCGAGTCGAGTCATGCGCGAAAGGAAGAACTCCAAAACCAAAATGACGCCCATACGCAGCATTAATTCTGATGTTCCTGCGTACAAATCTAGTTGGTTGCTTCCCAGATAGGAGTGGTGCACGTACCTTTTTTTCTCAGTTTCCATATCTCCAGTAATTTCGGTTTGTCCTTTATTTCTCATAGTGAACGACTCCCCATTTTGATGTGCCATAAAAATGTGGGAGAGGTCATTTCTACTTCTTGTTACTATATTTTTTCCTGGGTCTTCCCTCTCTTGCCACAGGTACACTTCACGACTTCCTACATCAGCGACTTGCTCAATCGCGTGAAGTCAATACGTCATACACATATCTGTGAGTCTTACATGACACCCTTAACAAACAAAATATGGCGGGTTGTGCGGCGGAAAGTGGTGGTCGAATAGGTGATTTATATGCCTTTCCGAACGTATTTATTTGATTATTTCATATCGATCTGTCGCCATTTGTGATATTAGACGTATATCTTACAACAATTAGATGAAATGCAAGAGAAAACGTATCTTAAAGTTGTTCTTCTCGGAAAAGTTAACAGCGGAAAGACATGCCTTGTCACTCGATACATTACACGGTCATTTAGCGAGGAAACGCCAAGCGTGAGTATAATGTTTAATATAATTTTCTTGATTTACATCACGATGCTCCTCTGAAATTAACCCTACTCTCTGCCATCGAGACAGACTGCATTCGAGTCTAAAGCTGTCAAACTTCAAAAACATATCAGAAACAGTCTCCTCGTCATGAATTTCAGCTGTGTATATTTCCGACAGAAAGTAAACTGACTGAGTAGAGAGGAGATTTATGTGTCCTAACTTTAATAATTGAACGGCTGTAACTCAACTGCGTTGTATCTTTTATAATCCATGTTCGATTTGCCTTAATTTTCGTCTATTTTGATGCCACTCACGTACATATACACTGAACAATTGTAATTGCAGCTAGTAAGTAACTTATACCCCTGACAAGGAAATTTTCTGTACATTACGTCACTACCGCATTCGAACAGTCCAAGTTCCTTGAAGGTCTTCTTTTTAGACCAAAATCTCCTCTCGTCAACCCTGATCTTCAGTGTAACGACTAAAAGTCTCAAGAAATAATTTCTAGTGTTTACCGGTAGTAAGGAAATGTCAATTTGAGTCTGCCAATTTCTTACAATTAATGTATGTGAAATTCTAAACACGTACAATTGCATCTCAGGAGAGTATTGCCAATTAGATCTTGGAAAGTAAAGAGAAAATTTACGCTTACATTCATTGCAAAGTCAGTTGGGCTAAAGAAAGAATGCTGCCTTATTATTTTATAAATCTAACTTAAGTGTAGCTTTATTTTGAATCTTCGTTTTGGAATAATTATAGTGATACAATTATCGTTAGCCCCTGTCTGAGAATTAAATTAAACAATGAGTTCAAATGTCAGATTTGATTAGTGAAGAAGTTAATAAAAATGAAAAGGAGTGAATTGATAATGTTAGCATCTAAGAAATGAACTGTATAGTGACATCCTAGAAATGATAGAGATAATTGAAATTTAACCCACTCTCATATTTATTTTTTTAGTTCTTGTGGTTTTGTGTGCTGGTATTGGGGGCTGTGTGCCATCAAATTTAAGACTTTGTTTTGTATGTAGAATGATTCATGGTACATTTTTACATACTTAATGTAAGTGAGTTACATAAAAGAAAACTACTGCCGAAGGAATTACAGTGTGCATGATTGCTGGATGAAGTATGCTCTAGTAATTATGATATGGTAATGATTTTGTCTCTCCTCACCTCATTTTCTTTGCAGTCATTGTTTGCTTCTTTAAAAGTTTAGTTATCAGGAGAAAGTTTATCAAAATTTATGGATTTCTATTTTTTTTTCCTTCAGACAATTGGAGCAGCATTTTGTAGAAAAGATCTCTACATTCAAGGCAGGAATCTGTCACTAGCAATATGGGTAAGGCTTTAGACTTGAAATGAAATCTTTAAGGTACACTCTGAGCCAATTTTTGGTTATAAACTTCACCCACAGTTACATGTAACATTGGAGTATACTTATATAGAGTAATATATGGGCACCGTAGATATGGAATTTCTCTTCGATTGTTCAACTCGATAGCTCACAAGTGAGTACAGCATACAAATGAGATACAGAGTTGAGCACAGGAAGAGAAATTTCATATCTACAAGCAACCATGTATTATTTTGTTTATCATATAAACACAATAGCCCTTTAGCAACAGGAAAAGCTGACGTCATTAAATAATGAAAGTAAAAGAATTGTACAGTGTGTTGGTGCTGAGGTTCAAAATAGAAAAATCCATTAAATCATGATTACAAAAATAAAAATAGGTATAATTTTAAATTTACAAAATTCTGATTTATTGAGGTTGTCCTTAGCAACAGAAGAAGTCTTTCAGATGAATGGTCAAAATCAGCTTATGGCAAATCTTCCAGTAGTCGATTTTCGTTCTCAGCAGCAAGAAACACCATTACTAAAGCCACTGAAAATATAACTTTCGTTTTTTCCTTTGGTATATTGGTTTTCTTCCCCTTCTAAGAAAGTTTGAATGTCACTGTCTGTAAGCAATACAGATTTTTTTAATGTTTTAGCTGCCATAGTTCAGGAAAGTTTCACCAAACTACTTTGTATTGAGAATTGTGAAGGCTTTGCCATTCATTCATCAACCTAAGGGAGTGGCACAAAAGGCAAGTGACATGTCAGCAGCTGATTGGCAATATCAAACACATTACAAAAAATATTGTATTTTTTCACACGTGTTGTTACGGCTTTTCTCAGGGCTGGAAATCCTTGTATAACACCATAGTTTATGCAATAGAAAGTTTTGTTACAATATACTATTTCATAACTTGCTTTCCATCTGCCGCAACTTAGGATATCTTTAATTTATTACCATTCTTAACTTATAAGTGAATTAAAATGTTTTTTCTTCCTGGTTCTTTTATTTGCTGAAATGAGTGTGATTTCATGGATTGTTTATATTTTTAGGACACAGCTGGAGCTGAAAGGTATCAAGCAATGAGTGCAATGTATTATCGTAGTGCTAAAGCAGCCATCTTATGCTATGGTTAGTATGTGTTTTTAATGAAATTTATTGAATAATAATAAGTATACATTATGTTGTATTTGGAAGCCTTATTCTTTATTTGTAACTTTAGAAAGTCTGGGATATTTTTTTTACATGTTTTAACACTAATTGGCAGGTCATGGGTTAAACTCCCAGTGAGAGCAATCACAGTTCTTTTTCTCTGAGTATACCCATGTTATTCACTGAATAACATCATCTTTCACTTGTTTCAACAATGTTTGGTAAGATTCACTTTGTTGAGATGGATTGTGCCCTCAGAGAATTTAGGTTTAATATAATTTTGTTTTTTGCGAGGGGGGAGGTGGGGGTTCGTTTTATGATTAATGAGGGGTGTTACCTGTATTTAAGAGTAAAGGAACCTTGTTCAAGATGGGATCAGATGTGGTAACCTCCAGATAGCAGACTCAAAGCATTAATGAAATGTTTCTAAAACATATTTACAATTCACTGTAAAATCAAAGTTCAATTTATTTTAATGACCTTTGTTCCCCCATGCAGACCTGACAGACAGAACAAGCTTTGATAAAGCCAAGTTTTGGGCAGATCAGCTCAAAGCTGCAGAACCTGTAAGTTATTTGATATCATAACTAACTTTTTTTTGTAATTTTTCCCCTTTCATACCCTGAGGAGGCTCACTGCCTTTTCTTCTTTGGTTAAGGAAAACAAGTCATCTTATCTTGCAGTTTGTGTGCTTGATACTTCATGAGACACTTATTGTAATGTTGAATTTTAGGACTGCAGAATCTATCTTTGTGGAACTAAACTTGATCTAATAGAGGAAGCTGTGCAGCCAAGAGAGATCCAGACAAAAACAGTGTTAAATTATTGTAGAGGTCAGTAGAAAACTTTACCTCATTACTGCTTTTACTTTCAGTTAAAATGTATTGCTTTTTGTAGATAAAAATATGATTATCAAATCATGTAAAATATAAAGATTAAGTGCGGGAAGGCTGTGGGTCTGAATTCTGTTCAAACATGAATTTTTTTTCTGCTTTGGTTCTGGCGTCTTTTTTTTTTTTTTTTTAACAACCAATTTACGGTAGTTCTGTTTTTAACAGCTATGATCTTTCTTGTCGTAATAGAAAAGAATGATTAATACTAATAACCGTACTCATATGAACTACAGAAGGTTGAGGAACTTGCAAGAAAATCTAAGATTGCAGTTGTAGACTATGCAATTAATTTTTTTTTTGTTCTTGTTGTTTGTGTGAAGAGATTGGTGGTGACATGTTTGAAACATCAAGTAAAAGAGGATACAATGTTGGTGAGTTTGAATGATTGAAAATACCTGATGATTTGAGGATTTAAAACATGACTGGGAAATCAAAGTTTGATAAACATGTAAATTTGAACTTTATATATTTAAACTGAGATGGAAGCAGAAGACCCTTATTTTCAGCCTTTCTTTTTTGCCTCACTGTGACAAATGTATCGAGAACAGTATGGAGATTATGTATACTAACAATAGAGTGTCAAGGGGAAATAGTCTTGCAAGGATGGTCATTGGTTGATTAAGAGACAGTTACCTTATACTTCCACTAACTTGATATTTTTTTTCCTTGTTTATAGATAAGGTTTTTGAGAGGATAGCAGAAGATTTTATGAAATCTAACAAAGCTGTTTCCTCTGGTATGTATAAGTTACTATATGTGTAATAGTTTTTAACCCTGCCACTTCAAAGATCTAAAAATTGATTCCTTACACTGTTTGTCATTTATCACTTATAAGAATTTGATGGACAATCAAAAACAATATCCCCCTAGTTGATAACTTTTTCACTTCTCATCACCTTTCTACTTGAAAACTATGGATGTTGTGGGGGAGAAATCCATGCTTGATCACTCTTTCACTCTTTCAACTTTCTTCTGGTAACCACTTGCCCAGAGAACATTTGCATGACATGAAATTGTTTTACCACTAATTGCAGGAGCATTTTTAATTTTGCCTTTTTTTTTTGGATTCTATGCATCTTGCTCTATTGTTATAGTCTGCATTCTGAGCCCCAACATCAAATGAGATTTTATGCCCTTGTTTCAGGACCAAGGGGTGATGTGCAAGTAGACAATAGGGCAACTCCAAAAAAGTCATGTTGTTAACAGAGGTGCAACAGAAACCTGACAACAGGGCTGGGTGGCCAGTACACACATATTGCATGCCATCATTGTCACAGGAAAGCTGCAAGTCAGTCAAGGAGATATGACTACCATTGTAACATGCTAGGTTGATAAAAAAAGATTGATGAAATAAGTATTATATAGAGTCTATTACACGATGTAGAAATTGAGGTTAAGGTGATTTTGTAATTAGAGACAAATGTAGTTCTTGATTTTACCAAATAGTTTAGATATCTTCATACACACTAGATATGGCAAGGAACATTTGAAGAGGTGCTCCATGTGATCAAATACCAGGTTCTCTTTCCAGTTTGTCTAGTATTTCTGTGTGAAAACAGAGTGAGGAGTTAGTGTTGCATCAAATGTGACTAATACACTATTCACATCAGCAAAACATGTTTTGTTAAATTGGTTTTTACTGAATGACAATCATAAACAGAGAACTAAAAATTGAATTTTCCATAGGATTCTAGTACTTGTATTTCCAATGTGCTACTTTTTAAGTCAATAAATACTAAGTTGAACAGTTTCTATGTAGGAAAAAAATTAAACTGTGTTTAACAAACAGCTTTAATTTGAAACATGTTTAAGCTTTGTTGTGAATGAGATATAACTGCTTTATTCCATACATTCATTCATTTATCAAGCATTCTATTGAAATTTCATTTGCAGGTTTTTAATTAATTTAACCATAGCTCTATCTTTCATCGGATGGAATCCAAACATTTAACCATATAAATGAAGGCTAATAAAAAATACATTAAATTTTATACTTTTCCTTTTCATTGTTTAGGTGAAATTCTTATTTGTGACCAATTACTGATTTAATTAAGTTTATTATTTAAAGTTTTTCTCCAAATTAAAATCAGAAACTTATATCTATTGCTGTTTACAAATTTTCAATAAAAAATATTTACATAAAAATTAATGATGCAGCAAAAAATGAATCAGAAATTTTCATGACTGGTATGACAGTGCTTAATTAAATTTTCTCAGGTAAAAACAGCATATGAAGTCCAGTTTAAAAGTTATGTGTTTTTTTTCATCTCTTTACTGCCTTAAATTTTTGGAAAATTTATGACATACTTGGACCATGATGAGCAATAAGACCATTATGTGTCTTTCTTGTTAGCAACTGAAGTCTCTTAGCCTAATCAGATTAATATATTTTGGTCATGACAGATATAGTTATGCTTTTGCATTCAAATCTATGTATTGCAAATGCTTCTCTTGTATTCAATTTAGTTAATTTGTACTCTTATATGTAAATTTTTGTGAGGTGCTTGTTGAGAGAGATGTTCAAACATTGGATCTGTTTTTTTACTTATTTTAGTTCAAATGAAACCATGTAAAAATTTGTGAACAAGCACACTTTGAGAGTGTATATATACATGTACATTCAAAATTGAAGATGTCTTTATAGGGAAGGACTTGACAATAAAATGGAGATGGTGATCAGTAACTGCAGTGCTTGCAAGGTCCAACCCTTAAACTTAAATTAGTGACCAAGATGGAATTTTCAATACCAATAGAATATCAAACAGACAAGTGACAAGAATAAAGAAAAATATCAGTTAGGGGATTATTAGTTGATCCAGACCCAAGTTCTCGAAACTAATATCAAGAAAATTGTGTAGCTGACAGTAGGGAGAAATACTTATGAGATATTGACTGTAAATATATGTAGATCGTAAATGTGCACTGCGGTTGAAGAAACGAACATAGAAGCGGTCCTCGCAGTTGTGAACACTACTGAACTAGTAGTTGAAAAGGCCTGAAGAGAATTCAGGCACGTACGGGATTTGAACCCATGACCTCTGCGATACTGGTGCAGTCATTATTCACCATTTGGAAGGTTTCTTTAGATCCAACATAATGACCAGCTCCCAGCTGGCTTGTTAGTTCAGTTGGTGGAGTGCTGCACCGGTATTGCAGAGGTCATGGGTTCAAATCCCGTATGGGCCTGAATTTTTTCAGGCCTTATTTAACTACCAGTTCAGTAGTGTTCCTAACTGCGAGGATCGCTTCTATATTCGTTACGAATGAGATCTTGGGAGTGAAAGAGTTGAAGAGAAAAGCAATTTTTTAGCTCGTAATTAAACATCCCAGAGAGGTGAAAACAAAGTGAAATTTTGAGGGTAATTAATGGCAAGTTCACCCTCTTCCCATACCCTAATAGTGAGGACATGCATTGTAAAATGGCAAAAATTGAACCTGGAAAAAAGGGCTGATTCTGTTTCTCCTAATAACGTCAAGAAACTTTCAGCTTTTTTATTTAATTTCTTTTCTTAACCCTTCTTTTCCAATATTTGTTTGTCTTCCCATTTAAAACCACCTTAAAAATAATCTGGAATGTCTTTGTAAACAGTAGTCTTTTCATTTTTTGAACATTAGCCGACCGCTTTTTCCAACCATTGGCAATTTTCACCCTCTTCTCAAACTCTTCAATTGAAATTTACATCGTAGCGCACCTGAATTTAGGCCAAATAGCAGAGTTTTCGTTAAATTGTCACCTTAAAGTCAAAACACTTTTCCCTCAGAATCTTTGCTCACTTGTTCATTGTAGTACGTACTTCTTACATTTAATCTTTAAATTCGCTTTCCTTTCATGGGAAGTTCCCCGCAGCTCAGTGGGTAGAGCATTGTACCGCGAATGCGGTCCGAGTCAGGATGGAGATCCTGACCCGGGGAACTTGCCGTTTTCTGTTTTTGTTTTTGTTGTTTTCTGCCGTGTTTTTACCTTTTTTTTTTATTTTGGTTCATTATATAACGTTTTTTATCTTCTCTCTTTGATAAGGTTACTACTCTCCCACGCCCCTGAATTTGAAAATTATTAGATCAAATAGCAGAGTTTTTGTAGTAATGTCATCTTAGAGTCTAAACACTTTTCCCTTAGTATCTCTGCACGTTTTTTCCTTGCGGCACATAGTCCACTTGTTACATATAATCTTCAAATTTGCTCTTCATTCATGCAAGTTCCCCTCAGCTCAGTGGGTAGAGCATTGTACCGCGAAAGCGGTCCCAGTCAGGATGGAGATCCTGACACGGGGAACTTGCCGATTTTTTTTATTTCATTTATTTCATTTTCTATTTCAATTTTTTAATTCTTTTTTCTCAATGATTTCTTAATCTCCTACCATGCTTTTAAATAGTCTGAAGTGTTTTTGTATGCTCGTCTTTTCACGTCATTACACTGGGAAAGGTTTACTGCCACTTTGGCAAGTTTACCCTTTGCCTACACTCTTTAATTAAGGACATGCATCGGAACACTGCTGAGTTTTAACATTATTAAATTAAGCAACATAGTTTCTGTAGTAATGTCATCTTAGAGTCAAAAGACATCTTTCTCAGAGTCTTTGCCCACTTGTGCCTTGCAGTACGTACTGTTCTTATTACATATTATCTTAAAATTTGCTCTCCCTTCATGGCAAGTTCCCCGCAGCTCAGTGGGTAGAGCATTGTACCGCGAAAGCGGTCCCAGTCAGGATGGAGATCCTGACACGGGGAACTTGCTGTTTTCTCTTTTTTTTTTTTTAACTTTATTATTATCATTTTTTTTTTTTGGATGAACATATTTTCCTTTTCCCATTTTATACCAAGCTAATACACTGTCTGAAATGTCTTCGGATTCTGATCTTTTGAATTTGGTTCATTATCCAACGTTTTTGCTTTCACTCATGGATAAGGTTACCCTCCTCCCTCACTCTTAAATTGAGGACATGCATCTGAACGTTAGTGGATTTGAACAAATTTTTTTAAGTCATATTACTTAAGAATCAAAAGGCTTGTTCCTTCGACTCTTTGCTCACTTGTTCCTTGCATTACATATATATTCTACTTGTCATGTATAACCTTAAAATATGCTCGCCATTCATGGCAAGTTCCCCGCAACTCAGTGGGTAGAGCATTGTACTGTGGAACATTGCCGTTTTTTTTTTAATTGACCCGTCTGTGTGAAGATTTGTTCCTTTCCCATTTGATACCAAGCTTAAACATAATCTGAAATGTCTTCGTATGCGGGTCTTTTCATTTTGATTCATTTGCCAACTTTTTTTAACTCAATGATAAGATGACTCATTTTTCGCACTCTCAAATTGAGGGCCTTTTTTTAAATTCTCTTTTTTTATGTTTTTTTTTCCATTTTATGCTGAGCTTATATAGTCTGGAATGTCTTCGTTTTATTTTCTTCAAATCATCTTCTGATTATTTCTTTCGTTTTCTCATGTTTAACCTTTTATTAATTAAAAATTATGTTTCAAGCACCAGAAGATAACGTCATTTTCAAAATTCATTATTCTGTTGTGAGGCGTGCAAAAAATAAACCAAACCACACCTAAAACTGTGACGTATCTGCTACTAATTGGCTGTACGTTTTGATCCATATTCATGAACAATTTCGATTACACCTCATTTCAAACCGTTAGCGACCAAGTAAAGATGTCAGGCCAGGCTGGTCCTCACCGATGCTCTATGTTGCAAGAGTTGGATGAAGAAGCATGGCTACTTATTTGAGCTTCTAGCCACTTGAGCAAACGGTCAGTATCAAATACATTAGAGTTCTAATGGGAAACTAGTAACAAAAGCAATTATTTAAGGGTTGCCACGTCCGTTTGGGATTTCGCCTCAAAGCCTTGCAAAGCCTTGCAAAGCTTTTTGAAAAGCAACATGGAGACTCGAGCAAACATGCTTTCCCAACTAGTTCTACTTTTATCAGGACCTCTACAAACAAAACTATGGTGCAAATTCTCAGTACAATCCCTACTTGAGTTCAGAGTCAATAAGTCGTTCAATATTCTGGGATGTAACATCACACTGCTGCGATAACACGTGAAGGGACAGAATTAAACAAGGAACCTTTTCATCCCTCCGAACGTAGTCTTCAGCTAATTTTGTGTGGAAATTTACACTTGAACTGAAATAAATTGCTATAAAAGCGAAGTAACGTAATGGGTTTTCTTACCAGGATGTTAAATGTCTTTTTTATGTTTCATGTTCAGACGAAACCTACTACGAAGACACCAAGCTGAACAGAAAGAATTCGCAAGCGAGAATCGATGGATTGCCAGGCACTGGGGAGCGTCGTTGAGATAAGAATGTAAATTATCCAAATCCCTGCAGTATTTCGATAAAATGGTGGTTTGAATGTCAAAAGAGTATGCAAAATTCTAAGATTATTTGGAAGGACAATTTTGGCAAAGTTGGTGATTTAATCGTGCAAAAATATGTTTAAACAATGCAGGGAATTCGTTCTGCTATAAAAACGTATATTGAAGCATAATGCCTAGTACAAATAGTATTTGCTGCTAAATCCATTTCTTTCCCGTATTAGACAAGACCACTCGGCGAAATTGTCATTTAACTACTAAGATTTTATGATCCACCATTTTAATCGGGTGTTAAGACGACATTAGGTCCTAACAGCAAGTGGCACTGCAATCAAAGGTTAACTTATACAGATTGACGTTGTAAATCGTCATTACAGTGACTCCTGTTTTGTCTACGGTTAAAATTGGAGTCAATTTTCTATCAAAATTTTGGACGCAGTTTCTCAGGTTTTAACAGCGCCACTTGCATTAGATTATTTAATATCAAAATTCCTAGTTCTCAAAAGCACGAACGCTGATTCAAATAGTTTTCATCGAGATAAATGCAGGACAAACAATCAAACGGCTTATGCAAAAGCTTCGTTATTACTTTCTCGTGTTTCTTTTATGTACTACGGCTTCACAAAACGCAGACCTGTTTGTTCATTCAGCCCATATTGAAAACGGAAAATAAAACTGACCTCGATACACAAAACTAAAATCAAAATACCACTGTCGACAACGATCGTTGAACGAAAATGGCAAAGATACGTAACGATTGACCGGGTTTGTTTTCCTTCAATCAGAATGGACTTTATAAGATCTTTAATGAAGCCCAATTTATCCAACAACATCCAACTTTTTGGCGACGAGGAGAAACCCTTTTTTTCCAAACACGGATTTGATCACAAATGGTTCTTTGTGGAGCCTAATATTCATTCGTGTTTTCTGTAATAGGGTTCAAAATGTTTTCATCCTGTTTCATTTGGTATTTCAGGTTCACTTAAGAAAAAGTCCGGCCAAATTTCCGCGCAGCCCTATACGTTTATACGGAACTCTTTCCAAAGGGCCAGTAGATTCTCAAATTTCAGCTCATTTAAAGTTGCAAAAAGTTTCGTCGACGAATGAAATAGAATTACTCCAATTCTTGTTTGGTCCTCTGATCATGTGCAAATTAATTGATTACTAAACTCTATGTTCAACAATTTTTCCTTCTTTACCATCCTGCTGATTTTTATACTAGGAGAAACAAAGTCTTTATAACGGACTTCGTTCAGATTAAACCGTCGCCAGTTTTTTTTTCCAATTTCTAGGCAGAAGGGCAAACGTTTTGCTAATCGAGACTTAAAGCCATGGACCAGCTTAATTACACGATAAA